CTTTAGGCCAGGTCTACCCCCGGAGCCAAGGTCAATTTTGAACAAAATAGCCTCGAAATAGATTTCAACCTAAGACCTTTGTGACTGGCAGGCGAGCCTCTAGCCAATATGGGTCCCAGCAGTGTAAGCAAATTATTTAAAAACCAAAAATCTTTACCTCAAGAGTGCCTTAAACAAATGCCCACAGTTTCAAGGGCAGGCATGCTAATTACGGCAACCCTATTGTGTAGCAATAAATATATTAAAAGGTTAAAGCTGAGAGGACTGACTTCACTGCCCTGAGTTTTCACCCCCTATGGCTTAGTCTCTCTCTGCAGCCGGCTGCTGGCTGAGAGTAAAGCCCAAAGCATGAACATCATAGCCCCAGTGATGTTATTCAGGAGTGTCCTTAAAGTTATATTCACGAACCAAAAGATGCAGCCGGGAAATAAACCCACAACCTTCAGAGTACAAAGCAAACGACTTGATCACTTCCCCACGGACACCCCCATAAATATTTCAATACTGACGAATAAAAATTACAGGTTTTGTAGTATCACATCAAACAGAAATCTACACACAGATCACTGCTGGCAGTATGGTCATTCCTTCTCTCCCTACAAAAGAGAGTTCTCATGGTAAACTGATTAATGTTTTATACTACCAAAACAAAAACAAAAATATTTTTTTACCACAGTGACTATTTACATGCATATAATCTTGACTATATGGTATTATTTAGTTTTATTTAGAAAAAAAAAACACACGCACTATAAAACAGCTCATCCATTAGCTGCTTTCAGAAGTTTTCAACATGCAGCAGTGGTTATTTACGTACAGATAAAAATGGCTCCCAATTTGTGTTACAGGACCTCAAGAACAGACTCACTGCCTCCAAGCATGTCCTAAGAAGCGACAATAGGGCTGTTTCATCTGAAGTCGAAGTGCATCTACCTGAGAGGTGAGGAACCAAAAATCTGCATACAAATAAACTAGATCTGTAAAACGGATTTGCACACACATACACAATTTAGAAACAAGACTAAAATCCAGAAGTTGATGAACAACCACAACTTTCTGCTGGAGATGATAGCTGGTGAATGCAAAGAAAAAGAATATACGCATAATAGACTTGGCTGTGATATCGGAGTGGCCAGCAGATGCCTTTCTGCTCAGTAGACCCAGGTTTGAACCCTGTAGATTTTTTTAGAAACTTACCAAGACTCAACAATTCTTCTGCTGCTACTTCTCTTCCTCTAGTTTTTTAGTTTCAGAGAATTGTAAGCATAAGTTCCTTTCTAACGAGCTTTGTAAAAACTTTAATTATTATTATTAAATGACAGCTGGTTAAGGTAAATTATTATTCAAAATGTTTAATTCTGTTTCACTTTTCTGAAAAACTGCAGTACTACTATTCTTTACTGCAGTACTACTATTCTTTACCGACTTTAAGGGCTTTGTTAGCGCAGAGGTGAGAGATCACGTGCCCATGCTGTACCTTTGAATGAGTTACAGCCCTTATTTCTCACATCTTTTTTGGGCCAATTTATTCCCAGTGGCAACATATGTATTAGTATTCTACTGGCCAGACAGAAGTGTGATTTCTATCAGAGATACCTCAGTTAAGTGATTTCATGTATTCTTGTTCGTACTTGTGGTGTTGTAGATTTATGACACCTGCTGATGAAGGCTCTCTAGCCGCAGTGTTCATGTTGTCATTTGTGTTTGTGATATTGTGAAACTGGCCGTCTCTACTTTCTGTTTGGTTTGATATTTTTTTTAATGGTATCTTTGAAAAAGCTTGTTTACTAGAATGTGGTATCAAAGACAGAGTTTGCAAGAAAGAAAACAATTCAGAATTCTACATGAATATGTAACACTATCCAAACACTATCCACACCATCTGTTGAGATAGACTGAGAACCTAAAAGATTGTCTACGTGCAGTTATGTCCTTTAACAAGAAACTGTTAATATCATACAAATACAAATTGTACCATAAATAAAAAAATAAAAAAAAGCAAAGCAAAAGCAATGGACCAGGAGTGCAGCAATAATAAACAGCAGCAGTGGTTTCTTAAGCACACTGAACAAAATATGTCAGCTATTCATCATAAAATACTTTATATGAAACATGTCTCTACCCGCTTGTGATTTTAAAGACCCTTGCAAAGGGACATCTTGTCTTAAATATAACATATACAAAGTTAGTACTCTTTAACTTAACAGTCAAGTCATGGTTATATATGACTGTTACCCAATAACAGTAGTTGGCAATGAATGTTGGACAGTGTATATACCAAACCAGACACCCCATACTATGTCAACAGCTTTGGGCAGAATACAGCACTGGGGGGATTCTAGCTTTATTTTAGAAGAGAAAATGCAAACCCGAAAACTGAATGTTATGACATGGCAGGCAAGACCAGACCCCTAGCCTCTGTTAGCAACTTCTAGAGGGAGGCTCCAACAGGCAGAGAGGCAGAGCTGATGTTTTAACTCTGGAAACTTCTTCAGCATGTTTTGTTGCAAACGTATTGGTATTACCTTTCCCTTGAAGTAAACAAGGCAGTCGTTAACCTCCATTAACGATGATCATGATCACCTAGATTTAATTTCACATGTCAATACCAAAGTTCTTCAACTGTGTCTTTCAGTGTCTTTTCTGAAGTACTTCTTCTACGCACATCAATAAAAGGGCTGCTGACACACTTTGTTGTGGTTTACAGCTAAGCTTCAATTTTGTGCCTTTCGGCCAAATACACCTTATCTTCTTCTTCTTCTTTGCGTTCACCAGCTGTACATTCTGGAGTAAAGTTCTGGTTGTTCGTCCACTTCTGGACTGCAGTCCTGTTCCACCTTATGTAAGCAAACCCCGAATTAGTCGCCTTATATAACTTGCTAGTTATGGGAAAGTGGGTCTGCTTCTTTTTCTCCCGGGGCCCGAGAACCCACACAGGAATTAAAGAGTACTACAACCTCATACAATAAATTTACATAGTTTATGCTTTTTTGTTGTTTTAAGTTTTGTTTTTTTAACACAATAATTTTGTTAGTAAATAAGAAAGACAATGAAACAACAGTGGATTATTTTACACAGAGAGTAAATTTCATAGCAAAAACAAACAGCAATATTATTTACAGGCATTTATGGTTAAAAAAATCTGTCAAGCCACATTTGTTCATGTTACTAGTAACATGACACTGAGAATAATGTGGACATACGGAACAACAAATACATTGGTTTTGACAGTTGCAGATTTACTAGATCATTTATCGATATCATAAGGACAAGACAAAAATAAATTATGGGGCATTTCAACAGAACGTCCTTTATGTACTGGACAGTATGAGAAGGACAGTCTTGGCTTGGTCAAGATAAGCACCCAATTATACCGAGGTAGAGAGACAAAATATTTGAGGGATAGACAGATGATTGTTTTAATGCACAGTATCTTTTTCCTAGAAATCAGTCTCTCCTGCATATATTCCGTTAAACTTTCTGGGACTGACAGTGCCAATCTGAAGCAGATAAATACTTGACAAGAACAGCACAAGAAAATAGAAAGTGCCATGTGTGAGGACAGATTAAACAATTTTGATGACCTCTGACATCTTCAACAGACCAGGCACCAGATGAAGAGGAAGTGGTTGCCAAGTTTAACCCTTTTGCCCTGAGAAGCCACAAATCCAACACTCCCGGGAGTGCCCAATTTGCCATAAATACAGCTTAACCAACATTTTTGCAATGTCCAATTCCAGAGAAGTACTTTGACCAGCTTCTGATCTGTTTTCCAGCATGCAAGAGTATAAATGACGTACAAAGGATTCTAGTTGCAAAAAAAAAAATACCAACGGCCATTGTTATCAATATTTTTGTATGCTGAAAGGCTGTGTTTTGTAGAGCTTGAAAATGAGTCATATTAAAGGTGATAAAAGAATTTTCTATTGACGATAGTAAAAAAAAAAAAAAAAGGTAAATTTGGGAGATGTGAACCTGCGTCATTGCATACAGATATAAACTATAAGTGCTCTGCCATCAGTATGGACAGCTGATAAGAAACTGTTTGCCTGCGACGCCGTCCGCATAAAACTCCATAGCTACTGCGATGTTCCTCCATTTACCCCAGAGATTTAACTCTGGTACCTATTTTCTAGAGGCTGGGTGAACCCTGCGAACCGGTTAGTTTCGAACACCGATCGTGGGCTGCAGCGAGTCGTAGCTGGATTTGAAGGCTAGTCTCCTACTGACTGCACTAACGCGGCCCCTAGTGATGACGAAAGTGTTGGTGTGCTGGCAGCACATTAGATCATTAGATAATTCACTCTTCTTTTTCTTCTTCATGTTGATTGGCTGTAAACTCTGGCAGAAAGTTGTGGCTGTTCGTCCACTTCTGGACTCTAGTCCTGTTCCTGAAACTGAGTGTTGCATCCACATCCGTTTCACAGGTCTGACTCATCTGCATGCAGACTGTTAGTTTCTTGCCTCTCAGACAGATGTACTCCGACTCTGAAGGAAGCTCCCAATTAGCCGCCTTCTACGACATGCTTTTGGGCAAGCAGTGGGTCTTTCTTGTTTTCCCCAGTGGGGCCCCTGAACACACATGGGGATGATAATTCAGTGTTATTGCACAAGCGCTGCATGCCGTCAACATCAGCTGATAGTGGCGTACCAGTGACATGAGCTGAAGCTACTGCCATCTTTATAACTTTACTGTAAGTAACTTTATTTACACTATTTTATTATCGACACTGCCATCTTTATTCTATACTGTAAGTAACTTTATTTAGCCAATTTTATGACTGACAATGCCATCTTTACTCTATCTATATTTTAAGTAACTTTACTTACACAATTTTTTTTTCCGACTCTGAGAATTAAGGATTCCCAGAATTTGTTAGTGGGAATTAATTACAATTTTTTCAAACTGACACAAAATGCAAAATTTCTGAGAAGTGACGGGCTTGGAGCAAAATGATTGACATACTTCCAAGATCACCTACTGAGTGAATGAACACCCCTTACTGAACTGCAGGTAATCCCCAACATATGGCTGTCTTGTCTGCACTGCTGGTGACGAAGGCGAACTGAGTTGGGTGCCATCGACCCTGGATGACCTTGTCTTTGTGTTCTCCAACCACCACGCTGGGCAGAGGTCGCAAAAGGTCACCTAATTAAAAAAAATTAGGCACATTATTTTTGTTTGGTATAATGACTAACATTTAAAAGTATAGTAATGAACCCTTACCACAACAATATAAGGAGTACGATTCTGAACTATAATTCTTAGGTCTCAATTATTTGTTCAGTTTAACTAATCAACTATTTTACAGAATTGGTTTATTTGTATGCAGACTGTTGGTTTCTCCGCCTCTCAGGAAGATGTAGTCAGACCTAGAAGGAAACATCCATAATTAGTCGAGTCTTACGACATACTTCTTAGGAGGCAGTGCGTCTGTTCTTTTTTCCCACAACAGTGATTAGTGATTAGTGATTAGTGACTGGAAAGGATTATCATCACAGCACTCCGGACAAATCCATAGGTGCTCCGATCTCCTCCTCAAAAGCTCTATAAGTGTAAAATGACAAATGACGCCTGTTTTGTGTTGGTTTTAAAAATGTCCTGTTCCCTTAGTGAAATGTTCATTTCTTGCAGGTCCATGCTGCACCCCATGTCCATCAGTCTAGACAGGGATACGGAGTCATGTCCTTTTGCGTGCTCCTTGGAAGTGCAGCTCATGGCACTGATAACATCACTTCTGTCCAGCACTGGACCAGCCATAGCAACAGTGTCAGAAAGATAGTCTGCAAACTCGTGAACACCCACATGACCTGGCACAAAGATGAAGGTTAGGGCAGCTATTTGTGAAGTTCCCCACAATGGGGAATCGAAACCCATACAGCAGTATTTTAACAACGAAGTTCGATAATGAACAATAACATATTTGCTGACACTCACCATGTAAGTCTGTTATGACGATTCTATTATCATAAGCCACAGTCAGAAGATAATATGCATTGTTGGAAAATCTGGCAGACCTGCATTCTCCAGAATGAGGCTGAAAACTCTGCACAACCTGAAAATAAAAAAAATGATGCAAATAATATAAAACCCCAGTAATAGCAAACTTTGTGAATCTTCTACCAATCTGATTTTGAAACACTTCTTTTTCTTCTTAAACTACATGCCGTGTGGCGTTGGTAGCCACGTCTATCCACAACCTTCTGTCTCACATTCTTTCAATCAACTTTGACACAGATGATCCTCCATGCCATGATGTCAAACTGTCCAGCATCTGTTCTCTTGGTCTCCCTCATGATTTACTCCAGTTTTCTCCATCTCAACACATGACCAATGAATGTGGCTTGTTTCTTTCTGATGTGGGCAATCAATTATCTTTGTGAGCCAGATTCTTTCAAGACATCTTTATTACTCTTTTTATCTGTCCAGGGTATTCATATCATTCATCTATAAAACCACATAGCACTACAAGCACAAAATATATTTCTGTCAATGAGCGTATGGGGTTATCAGGAAGCGATAGTATCATCCCTCTTCTTACATAGGAAAATAAACAATTATGGTGGTTAAAGGTGTGAAAATATGACAAGATTGATAAATGAGATGAACCAATAAACAAAAAAATTGTTATTCTCAAAGGGTTAGACTCAGTGACAGAGGTCACCATGTCATGACACGTGTCAACTGATATGACATGAGTAACCTGACAAGGCATGAGTCACCTGGCATGGCATGAGTCACCTGACATGACATGAGTCACCTGACATGACATGAGTCACCTGACATTACATGTGTCACCTGACATGACATGAGTCACCTGACATGAAACGAGTCACCTGACATGAGTCACCTGACATGACATGTGCCACCTAACATGACATTACGTGTCTCCACACCTGACACACTGGCATGACATGTCACCTGACCTGTGCACCTGACATGAGTCTGACCATGAGTCACCGGACATACATGTGACATCATTGTGTCACTGACATGACATGAGTCACCTGACATTACATGTGTCACCTGACATGGCATGATTCACATGACATTACATGTGTCACCCGACATGAGTCACCTGGCATTACATGTGTCACCTGACATGACATGTGTCACCTGACATGGCATGAGTCACCTGACATGACATGAGTCACCTGACACGAGTCACCTGACATGTGTCACCTGACATGACATGAGTCACCTGACATGACATGAGTCACCTGACATGACATGTGTCACCTGACATGACATGGCATGTGTCACCTGACATGACATGAGTCACCTGACATGGCATGAGTCACCTGACATGACATGAGTTACCTGACATGAGTCACTTGACATGACATGTGTCACCTGACAAACAAGTATATTTAAGCCCCAGGGAAGGCATTTCATTTAATGCTTTACTAAAATAAAAAATTAAAAAGATTTAGAAAAATGTTTTAAAAAATGGTATTAGTAACCTGTGTAAAACAGTTGTTCTTTCAAATTTCTCTAAAAATCCCATGGGTTAATTACGGTGTTTTTTGGGGGTGGGGGGGGGGGGGGGAACCTCTGCTGGGTAAGGATTAATTACTCACACATCATCTACATACTCAAAAATATTGTGAGCTGAATTAATGAAAATAAAATTGTGCAGGTGTATGTTAGCACTAAGATAAATGCAGCAGCACAAACCTTAGCTCCTCGTATATCATACAGCATGACTACGCCATCTTCATGTCCGGACACCATCAAACGACCAGAAGGATCAACACACACTGAAGCAAATGGACTGCCTGTGAAAAGAAATAAGTTCTCTGCTGACCATTAGAGGACAATCAAATACTGCCCTTACTGGCATCTGAACCTAGCACTGTTGAGATTTCAGCCAGGCACAACCCATAGCTTGAAAGTTGCTGCCTAAGTTTAGTGCTTGGTGCAGCCCTGCGAGCTGAGTTTTTCATGTTGAAATGTCTTTAATTTGTGCAGCATTTGGGTCGTGGTATTCAATACAGCCGGCGGTCGGTTTATGAGTGGGCTGGTGAAATACCTTATGTAGTAATTTTACGTGTTTTTAGTTAACTTATTGTGACCGAATACTTCCATCAACGACAAACTGCATTTCTGGTGGTGACTTGGCTTTGGCGTCTCTAGCAACTGCTATATGCATTTACTGTGTGAGCATATTTCTGGATTGTTCCTGGACAACTGTTTGTTCGCCAGTTTTTTCAAACAGGACAGCGAGGGATATTTCATTTGATTTTCACTGGCACAGGAATGGAGCAAGTATAGGGCGACCCGACTGCAGTTAAGTTGAAGCCTCGACCAAGACAGCTTTAAAGTTTCATCTTTTGTCCTTGAATCCCCACTGGAGTATTGGATATGAAATAAGAAGGCTGCAAGAGTGACCAGAAGAGATCAAATCAGGAATGAAGTCATAAGATACAATGTCAGCATAGAACCAATACTAGATATACAAAGAAAGCAAATAAAATGGTCTGCCCACTTAAAAAGAATGCCTTGTGACAACATAATAAAGAAGGCACACGCCAAAAAGAAGGATGTACAGCACAAGGCAGACCAAGAACAAGACACTATGGTTTTGGCCTCCTCACTGTCAGCAAAACCCAGCTAGAAAGACTGGACCGAGTACAAAATGAGGCCATGAGACTCATACTCGGCTGCACAAAAGATACCTTCTGCAACGGCATGCATTATGTCCTGGGTCTGCCGACTATGACAAGCAGATACAAAGTGGCACAGGTCAAGGCTTACATGAGGGTATCGGCAGATGTTAACCATCCATTGCACACAGTTATACACGACACAAAAGGAACGCGTCTCAAAAGAGGGCGCTCTTGGATGGCAAAGGCTGAGGATTTAATCCAGTAGGTTATGTGACCTAGATGTGATCAGTCACGGAAAAGAATGGACGAATACACCAGTAGACATGCATGGCATCTCTAAGGTTGTCAGCACACTAGGAAGGTACTGCAGGGATCAAATTCCTGCAGCCGTAGACACAGAAGTAAGGGAACCAATAGATAAGCATTCAGACCCAGAAGATATCATCATCTACACAGATGGATCCGTGAAGCGCAGATCAAGATCAGCATGGGCATACACAGCGTAAAGAAGGGGAAAAACAATATAGGAGGACAGAGGCGCTTACCAGACAACCACGTCAAGCATGACAATGGAAATAGCCGCTGCTTCTAGAGCTTTAGCATGGGTATCCAAGCAAACTGCCACACAGGCAGTAATTGTATCAGACTCCATAAACATGCTTCAGAAGATAGCAACAGGTGAAATGAGCTCTGAATGGGTAGAACATTCGAAAATCGCACTTAACCTCAGTAACCTGGATCTACACACCGGGTCATGCGGGCCTAAAGGGAAATGAGCGAGCGGACCAACTGGCAAGCACTGCACTAAGGATTGCAGGAAAAAGCATGGACAGTGGAGATGTCAACGCTGTACGAACTGGGCTAGTGGATAATGAGGAATTACTGACACTAACACGATTGCGTAACATGGGAGTAAAGCATAGTGAAGAACGTCTATGTCGTCTTCGAGGCCGAGATAGGAGACAATATAACCAGCTTCTCATGGGAACAATTAGTAGAAGTACTTTGCAGTGACTGAGGGCTGAGCATGCATGGGAATGCCCAGTGTGCAGTGACGTTGACTGTGATAATATAACATAACATAAGAACAAGATGGAGAGATAACATTAGAAAAACTCTGCAACATAATGATGAGTACATAGTTGAGGTGGCCAGAGTAAGAAGAGGGAGCATAGGCCCTTAACGGATTACACCGAGTTGTACTACCTTTTGACATCTTCTGCTCACTCCATATCCTTCCTAAAGTTATCATTTCTTTCTCTAATTCTATTATCAATATGTTTTATATCTTTATTAACTGCCCTGTGGGTTCCAGTCCCTCTGAAGGGATAATGTAGACAAAGAAGATGTTTAAGCTCAGGAGCCACCAGACTAATGCTAAACTCCCTTCCAGCACTAATTTGCCTGCCAAGAGTTGGGGAACCTTTTTTTCTAAAGGACCATAGGTATTTTGATAACAATATTCATGGGCCATATAAAATTATCAACTTCAAAATCAGATTCTATAGTTGGTTGAACATTTAATTAACTCATCCAACACAGTTGGAACTTATGTTATCACAACCAACGTCACTGTACACTAGGCATTCCCATGTGTGCTTAGTTCCCCGACGCAGCAGCCACTCCAAAGTACTTCTATTGATTGTTCCCATGAAAGGTTGGTTATAATGTCTCCTATCTTAGCGACGAAGGTGGCCTAGACATGCTTTACTCCCAGGTCACACAATCGTGTCAGTGTCAGAGATTCGTCATTATCCACTAGCCCAGTCTGTACAGCATTGATTACATCTGCTCTGTCCACGCTTCTTTCCACATGGAACAAACGAAAGAACGAACGAACAAACTTTATTTTTAAAGGGTTAAGAATTGGGCATGCAGGCCCGTCTAACATTCTGCCCTTCGAGGTCTCCAACTCTTGGCAGGCAAAATAGTGCTGGATGGGAGTTTAGCATTAGTCTGGTGGCTCCTGAGCTTAAACATCTTGGTGCACTGCTTGCATGTTGGTCTGCTGGCATGACCATGTATGTAGATCCAAATAAGGGAGGTTAAGTGTGATTTTCGAATACTTAATACCCATTCAGAGTATGTACCACCTGTAGCTATCTTCTGAAGCATGTTCAGGGAGTCTGATAAAATTACTGGAACTACTTCTCTCTGGTTGTTAACTTAACAGACATTTATGTTTCTATGAAATATGCTCAATGATTTCTTAAAATTTTGAATCGACTCCACTTGTCTTGGCAGGACCCGACTAAATAGTACTTATGCAGCCTAGAATGATCAGTAACAATAAATGACAACATTATCAGTTACTATTATGAATCCAGTTGTCAGCAGATTTATTGTCAGTAAGTAAAGGACCCTTTTCCAAGCCTTCAAGTGTATTGGGCATACAGGGCTAGACCTGTATTTTATTGACCAAGCAGTATTTGGTGGGTGTTGTGGTCAGCACCACGCCAGCTGCCTTTACTTCCCAGTGCTTGTATCTGGTACCCACTCAAGGCTGGATCGACCTGGGAGTCAAGGTCATTTTTTTAAATAAAAACAAGTGCACCTCCATAAGGAATTGAACCTATGACCTTCCAATCCGCAAGTGAGCATCTAGCCGCTGCACCACTGTGACTCCCATTATTGTTAGTACCCTACAATAAATTATCAAGCCACCATGACAGTAACAAGTGGCAAAATTATGAAAAACCGCTCATTATCATTTATCAGCAGGTTGAGTCATTTATCTCTCTCATCTCAGCATGCAGAAAGTCTCTCTTTCTCTAGCAAATTTTCCAGCCTTATGTGCTTTTACAGCCAGCACATCTTCAATTTCTGGAATCCATCTTCCGGGACACTGGTCAGCAGTAACAAATAACTACGCTGTTAACAAGCCTGAAATATTACTGATCAGTAAAAATTAATGACCATACTAATGACCATACTATCATCAAAATCTTGAAACACCACTTGGCAGCAATACCAAATAACTATGCAGTTAACAAGCCTGAAATATCACTGATCAGTAAAAATTAATGACCATACTAATGACCATACTATCATCAAAATCCTGAAACACCACTTGGCAGCAATAACAAATAACTACGCAGTTAACAAGCCTGAAATATCACTGATCAGTAAAAATAAATGACCATACTATCATCAAAATCCTGAAACACCACTTGGCAGCAATACCAAATAACTATGCAGTTAACAAGCCTGAAATATCACTGATCAGTAAAAATTAATGACCATACTAATGACCATACTATCATCAAAATCCTGAAACTATCATCAAAATCCTATGAAAAGCACCCACTTAAAAAAATAAATGCCATACAATAACAACCACTTGACAATATACCATCATAACAATTTTCAATCACCACTACCTGATCAGCAATAAAAATGACCCCACTCAGCATAATTTTGAAAGAGTACTTACTGGTCAGCAACAATGAGTGACCACATCATAATCACAATGCTGAAACCACTACTCAGTGAGACAAATGATCACACTAATATCTTAAGTCTGAAACATCATCATTCAGTGAAAACAAATGACCCCTATCATCACAATCCTGAAATATCATTGGCCAGTGAAAACAAATGACCACACTATGCTCAATCCTGAAACATCACTTGTCAGCAATAAAGAATGACAACACTATTATCACAAGTCTGAAACATCCCTGATCAACAACAACAACAACAACAACAAACAACATGACCAAACCATCATCACAAGCCTAAAACAGCCTACCTGATGGTGATGGCACGACTGTAATGGGTGCTGAGGCTCTTAAGTCCCAGAACCTGGCTGTCTTGTCCTGGGACCCGACTGACAAACATGCAACCACCCCAAGTGTGCAGAGAATAAATGTGACCTGAGCAACACAAAGACAATAAATTTCACAAATGTCATAAATATTATCATGAAAAAAAAAAGCACAACCAGCCAGCTTCACTATATCACAAATGACAAATGAACGTTACGGCTAGAGCGCCTTTATCAGCACATTAGGTAAATCTTCATTACTACAAGTACAAACAAGAATATATAAATTCACTTAACTGATGTATTCCCAATAAACATCCTGTTGCTTTCCTGAAAGTGAAATGTACGGTATATGTGGTCGCCAATGATAAATACAGGCCCTGGAATGCCAAGAGCCACTACCTCAAATATATTAGATTTAACTGCATTGACAGTTAAGCCCCTTAGGCGAGTGGACCCCCATGAGATAGATCAGGTGACTCATGCCATGACCTCGATTAAAATTTGACACCAACTTGTCAGCTCGGCTTTAAAAAATGCTATTTAGCTCTAAGGAAACCCCTCCTAAAAGCTATTCTTAGTTAATGTATTCATATCCTGACCTTCTAAACATTTGCACAAGCATGAAAACAGTCAATAGCATTAATTATGTGTCTCACAATCAGGTCATAGAGACAAGTCAGATATGTGACATTTATGGGGAAATGGACCCACCCGGAGGTGTCGGTTTTGCAGTTTCTCAGGGTGAAAGGGTTAATGTCATCTTAGACACCTTCTTGCTCTCATATTAGATTTTCTTAGATATAGTGCCTGCATTGGTGTTTGATGTTGCCATATTTTTAACAAGATGAGCAAATGATTTTATCTTCTGTTTATCAATACATGAGGCATCCCTGGGTAGGTTCTGGGGCTCAATTTTTGGGGGGAAAAAGAACAGACACACTGGCTCCCTCTCAGATATGTCATAAAAAGGCGACTAATTATGGATTTTCCTCTAAGGTCGGAGTGCATCTGCCCGAGAGGCAAGGAACTAATAGTCTGCATATAAATAAGCCAATCTGTAAAATGGATATGCACATAAGATTCAAGTTCTGGAACAGACTCAAAGTCCAGAAGTAGATGCACAATCAGAACTTTCTGCTGGAGATTTACAGCCAAGGAATGTGAAGAAGAAGAGAAAAATACCTCTGGCACAAAGTGTTGTTCCCACAATATGAATGACAGAACCATTTTTCTCTCAGCCTCAGATGGTTAAACTGGCAGCTTTCCTCAGGCATCTAATCTCAGAAGTGTTGATTTTTATACATGTGGTTTGTAAGTTTTGTGTGTGTCTAACTTTGTCTGAATTTGGCACTGGAAGTAAAGCAGAGAACATCAATGTATTAGTTGATAAACACCTAGGTGTAACAACTACAACCATTTTAGAAGGTAGAAAAGGATTTTGGATTTGTTCTTGTTGGACCAACATCACTGGGCTACCTTCAGTTTTAGAGAGGGAGAAAACAGTCACTATGGCAGCCTATTATAAACTACAAATATTTATTAACTGGTGCCTGCGCAGAATAGAGGGAATTCAATGGTATGATAGAATCATTAATGTAGAGCTTTGGGAGAGAACTAAACAAGTTCCAGTGGACCAAGAGGTGAGGAAAAGACTCTGGCATTGGATAGGGCACACACTGAGAACAATATAACTAGAATGTCTTTGCACTGGAACCCACAGGGACATAGAAATAAAGGAAGACCCAAATAAACACATGCAAAAGGGAGCTAGAGAGAAGTTAAAAAGATGGGGAGGACATGGGGAGAGCTGCATGTGATAGTGAAGGATAGATCGTCATGGCGTGTGTTGTTAGAGGGCCTATGCTCCATTGGGGGTTAGAAAGGCAGAAGAAGAATGGTAGCATAACATTGGTAGCAATATTTTATTTATTGTTATCAAATGGAACAAACAAGCACGTACCAGTGTGACCTGTCATGGCGCGGATCGGCGCCCCAGACTCACAATCTGTGACATAAATTTTACAATCTCCCGCCCCGCCACTGATGAGAATTGAGCTGCGACTGGTCACATCCTGCATGAAAACTAGGTCACGAACAGTACCATCGTGAAAGCTGAGCTCCATGCCAGGTCCTAGGGAATCAGAATAAAGTTTACGACCCAACATGAAACGATTTTCAAAGAAACTTCTGCGGTCATAACAAAAATTAGCTGCACTGAATATACCAAAAATGTCAGTATCATGTCATGATAATAAATGAATCAAGAAGTGACATCACTGCAGTCGGGGTATTCCCATACATGCACTGCCCCTTCCTCAGAAGCCAGCAAAGAGTCCCCATACTTCTTCACCCCATTCACTAGCTGTAAACTCTGTTCAAAGTTCTGGTTTTTCTTCCAAATCTGGATTTTAGTTTTGTTCCAGAACCTGAGTTTTGCATGCACACCCAGTTTAGAGATCTGGATTATTTGTGTGCAGACTGTTGGTTCCTTGCCTCTCAGACAGATGCACTCTGACTGTTACCTTTTACAACTTTTACAACATACTTGTTGGGGGGGGGGGGGGGGGGAGGGGGGGGGCATGGACCTATTCTTGTTTCTCCCCTCCCCCCCCCCCTTCCTTTTCCAAATGGGACGCAGAAACCCACACAGGGATTTTAATAGTCATGCTGAAGAACTGATAATTTATAAATATTAGTATTGCAAACAAGACTTCATTCTAAAGCTGAGGTGTTGTGTGAGTGTATGCATAAATACCAAACCCCTTAAATTTGCTCTGTGAACCCTTGGGGTCCACATTATGTAACTGGAAATACTTGGTGATGTAATAAGTGGGGTTTGTTTTCTCTCGTTGTCTAGGTTGTGTTCATGTGTGTGTCGTGAATGTTCTTCTCACACACTCTACGTTACATAACTGGTACAAGCCGACACCGACTTAAGTGTACGAGAAATAAGTTTATTGGCATATTATCACTTACAGTAGTGTCCAGTTGTTGTCCTAGTAAACAGCTCTCGCACACCAAATTCACGCAGCCTTCAACGTGCAGGTTCTTCATGCATTCATTGACCAGAGTCGGCTCCACTAAATCAGGTTGAGCTTCTTGCCATTACACAGACTAGCCTGGTCGATCTTGACTTCACTTTGTCGTCAGGGTCTCCTTTCGCAACAAGCAATCTTACGTTGACATTCTTACACTCAGTCGCACATCCTCTCGCTCCAACAGGTTGACACAAACTAAATTTGACCAGAATCTTATACCACGGGTTAGTTTCACGTGGCGGTCCTTTACTTTCACGTGGCGACCTTTGGTCGCGTCGTCGTGATACCCGTGATAACTAGTGGTCATAACCTATCTCAAGATCCTCGTTTAATCCCAGTATCTGGAATATCTCAGTGTTTTGGGTTAGCTTTGGGCCTTCCCCCCACCCTTCCTAATCTGGGTGAAAATATCCCCCATTACAGGTGAGAGGATCAACTTTACTTCAGTATTTTATTTACTGCTGTCTCTCTCTGAGGAATAGTTCAACACAAGAGTTTGAGAGATTTCAAAACGTCACTACACATGAATTGTTTCATGTGACCATCCAAATGATATGTCTGAGAAGTACTGCAGGAGTGACCAGAAAAGATAACATCAGGAATGAGGTCAGGTCATAAGAGAAAAGGTCGGCAGAGAACCAGTTCTAAATTTTATACAAAGACAGTAAATCAAACTGCCTACCCACTCAGAGAGAATGCATTGTGAAACCATACCATACAAGACATACACCAAAAAGAGTTGTAGGATGAAGAGCGCAAGGTAGACCAAGAACAAGATGGAGAGATAACATCAGAGAAACTCCATATTAGCATGATGTGTCTATAGAAATAATACTCAAAAGAAGATTTAAAAAGGAATAAATAGAGAAAAAACAAAACATGTGAATAAATAGAAAATTTTCTAACAAAATGCACATACGGTAAAGTTAGAGACAGAACGAAAGCACACACAAAACAACAAGTTACATGAAGAGTGAAAGAAAGAACACAATAGAAGAATAAATCTAAAAATAAATAACACAAAACACATAATGTAAGGTGAAAGAGAGCACATACAAAACAATATAATACAAAAAGAGTGAAAGAAAGAACCAAAAAGAATAAATATAAATAACAAAATACAATTATGATAAAATGAGAGAGAGAAGGGAAGCCCGCATAAAATCCAAATGAAACACAGACAAACAAACCAGCACAAACTGAGCCTACCTTCAGCACTCAGAGTGTCCTCATTAAATTTAGTCAGCCTGATTGTTTTATCATTGCTGCCGGTGGCCAGGAGGTCACCCAGAGGGTTCCAGGCAGCGCAGTAGATGGAGCCCTTGTGATGTTTGCCATGCTTGTACACCACGCTGGTCTCGTAGGCAACATGTTCCTCTCTGCCAGGAAAAACCAATATATGTATGTTATGTCGCTGTTGTCTTTCCGTCTTCCCAGACGATAGTGTTAAACTGTGCCATGAGGGGGAATATGACTCACAGCTCATGGCGACGGCAAGTGTGACTAGAAAGACGTGCCCACATTATGAAGTCTTCATGATTAGAACATGGGATCTTAGGTTATATCTGTTTAGTGTATATCTTCTAGATGCTGGGCTCTCATCCTTCCTGCAGTCATTTCTTCATTCATTCTCTTCCTGATTTGCCCCCTCAAACTAAAAAGTCCACAATTAAACCTATTTCCAGAAAAAAAGCCATGCACGCAACCCTATTTCTAGAAAAAAGTGACTATTTCCAGAAAAGCACCTGCCACAGAAAACAAAGCTATTTCCAGAATTTCCAGAAAAAAGCCACAGCACCTATTTCCAGAAAAAAGCCACAGCACCTATTTCCAGAAAAAAGCCAAAAAAAAAAAACCACAGCACCTACAGCAGAAAAAAGCCAGAAGCCTATTTCTAGAAAAAAAAAAAACCACAGCACCTATTTCCTGAAAAAAGCCACAGCACCTATTTCCAGAAAAAAGCAACACACAAAACCTATTTCCAGAAAAAAGCCATCATACTTCAGTAGCAGCATGACAATGGAAGTGATGGCAGTAACACAAGCTTTCATGTGGCTAGCATTGGAGGGCTATCCTCACGTGTGTGTGCTGAGTGATTTACATGAGCATGATCCAGCGGGTCAAGGCGGCTTTGTACGCAGAAAGTGGATCGAGTCATTGCAAAACTGCACTGTGCGTGCAGTCATCTTCATCCCAGGGTATGTAGGTGTTGTTGGCAATGGAAAAGCTGACTGATTAGCTGGCTTTGACTTAGTTATAGAGAGCCGGCCCATGGATCATGCAGACATTGTTAATGCCATTAGAGAGGTAGGACAATGGGAGGATTTTGGGAGCAGCACATCCCATCTTTGCTAAGAGTGCAAGAATTAGGAGCAAAGATCGCCACAGCCAGGCACGAGAAGCTCACTGGATGCTCGAGAAGTCCTGCAACCCACATAGGACTGGGACTATCAACTGTGGGACGCTGATGTATAGTCTGAAGGGGGACTCTGAGCACCTCTGGATATGTCTGGAGTGATGTGAAGATAACCCAAATTAGAACTCATGTCACAGGAGGTGAATAATTTCCTTCGAAGCTGAAGTGCATCTGCCTGAGAGGTGCAAAACTAACAGTTTGCATACAAATACGCTAAATCTGTAAAACAGATGTGCATGCAAAACTAAAATTTTGGAACAAGACCAAAGTCCAGCAGTGGACAAACAACTAGAACTTTCCACCAAAGTTTACTGCCGGTGAATGCTAAGAAGAATAAAAACAAGAACACAAACAAAGAATAATCATATTTAGATAAATTATAACAAGAACAGACACAGAATATAACATGGTCTCACACAATCATTCAACCCCCCCCCCCCTCTCCCACACACACACACAGAGGGGAGGGGGAGAGAGAGACAGAGAGAGAGAGAGAGAGAGAGAGAGAGAGAGAGAGAGAGAGAGAGAGAGAGAGAGAGAGAGAGAGAGAGAGAGAAAGAGAGAAGGGAAACAAAGTAAATTATACAAATTTATGTTTTTTAAAGCAACAGAATACAACCCAATAATACCTTAGGTTTCCCATGTTAGGGAACGCACAAACTCTCAACATCTTTGAGTTTGATCCAATGGCATAGAAGTTGCCACTGGGATGAAAGGCGACAGTTCGAATAGCCTGGCTGTCTTCAAGTCTGGTGACTGGGATGAATCGAGGCTGGTAGAAGAAACAAAAGCAAATACTTCAGATGGGGATTAGCTCTCAAAGAACTTGTAGTGAATGGAAGTAGAAAGGATTACAAAGGTTGAGAGTTAGACAACTAGGAGTTCATTCAGTAAAGCAGCCATTATAAATTCCTTGTAGTGAGTGTTCCAGGAATGTCAGTCTGAATAGTTCTGCAGTAAATATTTGCAGCACAGGAAGTTGTTAAATCTACAGGACAGGAAGTGTCTCCACTGTTCAGGCCATGCTGAACAAAGCTTGACCGGTTGACTCCAGGAGGGACAGATCGGGCAAATGAGACAGGCTGTTTTTCATAACTGATGGCACAAGGTAACTCAAACTGACAATCATAAGTGGCTCTGACCAATATAATCAGTGATCTAATTTAACTTCAAGAGTAAGGAACATGATGGAGGATGGAGTGGATGAGTGTTGTCACTAACTGGTCGCTGGAACTGTAAATATTCCCACTCTTTAACATCTGAGGTAGAACAAACAAACAGGGGCTTATCTCAATTAGTATGACATAAGTGTCAGATGACAAATTCTGTGTGTGTGTTCTGAGGAAAAGGGGGGGGGGGGGTGGAGTGGATGAAACAGATCCACTGTCCCATAACTCTCTGAGTCCCAAGGTTTTTAATTTACCACTGGCCAGTATAAAAACACGAATTGGCAGTTTTGAATGGTATTTCCTGTTCTGTGTATTCGTGTCAAATATGCTGACCATTAGGCTTATTCGAAAACGTGGTTAAAAGCAAACAATATAGCATGTGTGTGAGCTACTGTGAAAACAATATGGCCTCCAAGCAGACTTCTTCTTCATGCACGCCAACAAGATTTATAACTTTAGAAGCCTCACATTTAAATAGATATGTTTATCAGATTTATCCGAAGCTAGACATAGAGAGTTAAGAAGTAGACTTGTTTCAGTCATGACAGAGTCAAACTTAGATGAGGAATAGCTCTGATATATACCAAATGCAAAGCATACAAAGATAACAAAGTCAGCTGGTACAAAGAGACTAAATATTAGTGAAAAAGGCACTTTTTTTATTATCAGTTAGGTCTAGTGTGATTCACTTATTATTTAGGAACATAGGCTGTAAAATTACAGGCAATTGAGTGTTATAAAAAGTTCTTTTGTGTGTGTGTGTGAGTGCGTGAAAATTCTAAATGCTTTCAGAAGTCATTTTTCTTTACCAAAAAAATGGTGTTCTGTTATGATGTTCTAAAATGTTTTCCCAAACAATATCTATGAACAGATTATGTTTATATTTTATTGATAAATTTTTAAGTGGTTTATTTTTTAATTTGCGATTCATTATGGATATATTTTATCAAGCTTTCCCTAAATGCCATGGCGGTAAGTAGAGAAATTATTATTTCATTTTACTAATTTCTCTAAACATACCAAACTAAACATAGTTTATTTACTAATATTTAACTACTAACACAATTTCTTTAATGAAGCAATATTCTAATAATATTCCTCAACAATCCCTGGTCACTATGATGTATAATATGTGTATGTTGCGCCACAGTTGAATTAGTATGATCTGTTTTAATGTGTTACGCTTGTGACATTTCAAAATTGCATTTACTACCCGGCGGTCCCCCCCCCCCTTTACCCCCCCCCCCCCCCCCCCCCCCCCCCCCCCCCAAAAAACTGTCCTAATTTTGTGTCTAGAGTTTTTGTTGATTTCCAGCTCCCCATCCATAGAGTTATGCTTATAAGCATTTAAAAACTGTAATTTTGGTTCTAGAGTCTTTTTGTTGATTCCAGCTCTCGCTCACAGAGGTTAGTACCCAGAATTGAAGAGTGTTGAGTTTTTGTGTTTGCAAGTGTCTTTGATTTCCAGACGTAGACAGTGTAGTGACATTTCAAAAATTGCATGGACTACCCCTTGGGCTTTGACCCCCCCCCCCCCCCAACCCCCCGGAATCAAAGAGTTAACAAGCATGCCGTAAGAGTTGACTAATTAGGGGTGTTTCACTCAAAGCTGGAGTACATCTGCCTGAGAGAGGAACCGTTTGCTTACAAATAAGTCAGATCCGTAAAACAGATGTGCACGCAAAACTCAAGTTCTGGAAAAAGATTACAGTTAAGAAGTTTACAGTCTGCAGTTTACAGTCGGTAAAGACTAAGAAAAAGAAGCAGAGGAAGAAGAAGAAGGTAAGAAAATATTACTGATAAATTTATTTTTTCGAAAAAATGTCAGTATAAATATTACTAGGTTCATCGCAAAAGTAACATTAGGTGTCATTTACTGTGGTTAGTCTGCTAAAACAATGGTCTGTATTCATACATGCCCACTGGTGCTCCGTCTCCCGCAGCAAACGCCAAAATGCACAGATGCTAACTGTTCCTGTAGCACACATCATTCTCTTCCTCTCATATGTTTCTCCTTCCCAGATCCACTCCCAATTCCACACTCACATTCTTACACATCGTACAGGATCCTTGCCGGTGCTACAGAGCCTGTGCACTGTGCTGAGCTTCTTCGGACTCAGACTTGAGTTAGAAGTAGAACAGAGCACTTATCGGTTACTACCCGCGTGCCATGATGTTGATCCGTTGTTCAAACCTTTCGAACACATCTTATTTCTTCTAATCTTGTGTCTTCTATCAATATTCATCCATAAATGGTCTTCAGAATGTGTCTTTTATCCAGTATGAGAGTTCCTGTAGCTATTCTGTAGCCATTCTGTAGCCAAATAAATCCACTCTTTCATTTTCTTGCACGCCTACATGTCACGGACGGTATATCCAGATGTCTATGCTATGTTGACATGGTGATGCTTGGTATCCATGCTTGGTATCCACGCATGCTTCATCTGTCCATTTTGAAGCTTCCACAAAACTGGCTGAGAATCAGACACTATATTAAGGCTTAAAATAACAGTGGGTATACAGAGGTTCTAAAAAGACTGCGAATGAAAATATAATTACTGAAAGAAAGAAAAGACACAACTGAAATATTTTAGCCACATCAAAAAACATAATACGCTCTTACAAACCAATCTACAGGAAAAGGTCGAGGGCAAGAAAGCAAGAGGCAGACAACATCAAGAGATGGATGAAAGCGGCCTGAGACAGTGTAGAACCAAGACAAAATGTGTTGGAGATCCAACCTTCATTGTGGAGACGGCACGTGACTGATCATGATGAGAGTCTAACCTTCAATGGGAGGTCAAGGGTAGAAGGATTTGTGTCTGCTGGCCTAGAGTTTACCTTATCTTTAGCTGTCTTATCTGTGGAGCTTCTTAAAGATGACGGAGTAGTTAGCCCTTGCACTGTCTTGTTTGTTGCCTGTCTTGTTTCTATTAAAAATAAAAAATTACAATAACATAAACATCCACACAACAGCAAAAATAAAATAATAATATAAACATCATCTCAACAGAAATGCAAGAAAATAAATCATAATATAATCAAAATCACAACTATAAGAAAATTAATCATAATATTATAAAGTTTATCACAACAGCAACTATAAAAAAAACAATTAAGAATAATATAAAATCACTACAACAGAAACTACAAGAAACAGAATAACCTAAACATCCTCACAACAGGACAATCTGCATTACTGTGTTTGTTGTTCTGCACAATTCTTTTTGCCACAGGGTACTAGCAGACACATACCAAAGCACAGGCTTCCCAACATTATGGGATACACACAACTATCTTCACACATCACTTAATGCCCCTTCCCTCAGACCTGCATGTGGACAAGTTGGATCTAATACCATGCGTTGTTGCCATTGGGGACAAAGGGCCCAATTTTTTAAATCCCCTACATCCCTGTTTTTCATGTATCCAGCCCACCTTTGTACAAGATACAGATGGTAGAAGGGTTTTAACACTGATCTTAAACGAATGGGTAACCAGGTTCTAATCCTCAGCAAGGCAATGCATTAGGCAGCTGAATAAACTGCTTGGATAAATGGCCTTTATTTCTCTGGCCTGCAACAAAACCCATGTAAAACGCACCCCAGGTGCAATCTAATAGGTATAGCTACTTTTGTTATGTTAAAGGCCAATCTTTAACAAAAGATATTTGATTTTATTGATGTATCAAACAAGGATCCTTAACAAACTACTGTATTTTTCCGTGGACAAGATGAGATGCTTCCCAATTTTTTGCAAGTTTAAAATTGGGGGTCTTCTTATACACATAATTTTTTTGGGGGAAATGGGGGGGGGGCTGCATGGTCTCGAGGCATGGTGTCTGCCTCAAGTGCTAGAGGTTCCGGGTTCAATCCCTGGTAAGGGCTGGGATTTGTTCACGTGGACTTGGACTTGTAGTAATTCCCCCGGTCTCTGGGTAGTGAGATCGGGTGCCCATGTGCACTGTTTCGAACGTAAAAAATCCCTTGGCTGTTGGAAATCGAAAAGAGTAGCCTAACGGTGCTGTCCGTTTAGAGTTATAAATCTACCCAAAGTATCTGAGGATCCTCGCCAGTGCTACAGAGCCCGTGCACTGTGCTGAGCTTCTTCGGACTCAGACTTGAGTTAGAAGAAGAACAGAGCACTTATGGGTTACTACCAGTGTGCCATGATGTTGATCCGTTGTTCAAATATAAAAATGTGTTTAAAATATTTTTTTTCTGGGCTAAAAAAAAAAAAATATGGGATGTCTTATAAATGAGGAGTCTTAAACATGGAAAAATTCAGTGCCTTTGCTGTTGCCCTATCAACAATTAATCATTAACAAATAACATTTTCATATTCATGCAAGCAAATCCCAGATTAGCCAATTTAACTTCCCAGACTGGAGCATGCAGGACGATTCCTCCATTTACCTTTAGTTGAGTTAGTCCTGCTCAAAGTCGCTGCGGCCTTTGTCTCATTGTTTCCAAATCTGCTCTTGGACTTCCCTACAGTTGTGGTCAGTGTAATGCATAATATTAAATAACAAAAGAAAACACAGTGAAAGCTAGGGTGACAAATATGCTATAAAATTTACGCAAATCACATATTTAAAACAGTA